TTGTAATCCATATAATCCAGAAATCTTGTTTCCAGATTCTTAAAAAATTCCGCTTTGCCATCATTTGGTGCATAAATTCCCAAGAGCAAATATTTCTCGCCTTCTGCCTTGTCTTCTACTGCAATATATCTTCCCTCCTCATCTTTAAACAACATTTTAGGATTCCATTTTACTTTAATAGAAGACCACTCCTCTTTTCTTCACTTTGTCCGATGAAATGAATTCCTGTCCAAGTCTTTTATTATGAAGTACTTTTCTATGTAATCTGGTGACATGAGTTTTTTGCAGACAAATTATATCCAAATTCTGTTTTGCTAACACATGATACACTTGGTTCCTTTTTTGTCGTGAGTTCAAGCCATTAACATTCCAAGAGTAAATTCTCAGTGCCATCTTGTGATATTAGGGAGCCCCCGCACCTGCCCCCGATGCCTGTGGACTTTCCAATCCAAGTTCCTCAATGTTTTTTCCCAAAAAAACCTCATTTTTTTCCCAACGGTCTTAATTCTTTGTTTCCTTCCTTGAAATTTGAAGGAGAGGCCCTCTGGGAACTCCCACCTGAAGAAGATATTCTTCCTTCTCAGAGCTCCAACCAGGTCCGCGTAATTGTTCCTTAAATTCAAAAAGTGTTTTGGAATCTCCTTGAACAAAACAATTGGCTTGTCTTTGATCTTCAGACTTTTTTTGTAATGTAGGCTCAAAATCCTGTCTCTCTGTTCCTTTGTCTTGAAAACCAGTATACAGTCATATACCACTTTTGAATCTTTCTTAGCCCCAAACCTATAGGCCATCTCAATCCAGGGACTTAACTTGTCTTTTTCCAGATCCCAGCAGGCTGCAAACTCCTCAATTAGCCAATCCTGAAGATTATCTTGTTCCAATTGAGGTGTGCCTCTCACTCTCAGTTGGTTCTCACGTTCCTTCATCTGTAAGAAGGCAATTGCATTAAGCGCCTCCTCTTGGGTCCTCTCCGCATCAAGTACTCTCACTGTTTCCAATTCCATCAGTCTTTTTATCGTGATCAGCAACTTCTTCCCTGACCTCTTGAAAACCTGATTTCAAATCTGCAAATTCTTGTTTTAGCTCCTGTACATTCTGCTGGGTTCCTTCAACATCTGTTCTTATTTCTGTTAACATATGCATCACTGACTCTTCAAAAGTTGGTCTTTGGAGCCTCTTTTGTCTTTAACTTGGCTTTTCTCAGGTTTATCTACCCCATTAGCCGTAACTATTCCAGTGTCAAGGTCAAGTCAGCCAGTCACTGTCCACAAATTTTTTAGTACACAGGCAGCAGCAGGCAGCTCGGCAGCTCCCCCCTTTCAAAGTCTTATTCTTTTTACTCTGCTTATTCTTTTTTTAAAACCACCACAATAAGCTCAAACACAACGGAGCGGCATCTTGCCCTTAAAGTAAGGAGTGTTGGGTTTGGCTGTCCTTTCTTGGTATTAGTTGACATTTTTATTTCTTCTCTATATAAACACTGATGTCAGGATACAGGAAGCTTCTGATTCTAAGCAGCTGCCAGGGTTGGAAGATGGCCCAGAGCAGTGTTTCCCAACCGGTGTTCCGCGGCACACTACTGTGCCGTGAGACATTGGCTGGTGTGCCGTGGGAAGGAGGCGGGCGAGTCGGGCGGTGAGAGGCGGCGGCGGCGAGGATCCGCGTCGAGCCGGGGGCGGCTCCGCGGTGGTGGTGCCGAGCGGCGGGGCAGCGCGTGCAAAAGGGAGGAGCGCGAGACAGCGGAGGAGGAGGAGGCCGGCATGTCCGGGCAGCAGCAGCAACAGCAGCAGCAGCAACTCCTGGCGACGGCTCCTCAAGCCCCGCCGCCGCCCCCTCCTCCGCCCGCTATCACCGCCACCACCACCACAGCCGCCGCCGCCTCAGTTGCCGCCGTCCCTCAGTCCCTCGCTCTGCTGCCTCCTCCCACCCCCAAAGCTTGGAGGTTCCCCGGCAAGGGGGAGGGAAAAAACTTTCACTTTTGTGCGTCCCTCCCGGCGTGACGCTGCGCGCTGACGTCACGGGGCGGGGCTTTAATGGTGGTGTGCCGCGAGATTTTTTTTCAGTAAACAGGTGTGCCGTTGCCCAAAAAAGTTTGGGAAACACTGGCCTAGAGCAAAGAGAGGGGAGGTTGTCATGGAAACACTCTCCCAGAATGTAGGTGAAAGGCCAAACTCCACAGAGAGCCTCTCAGAAATGGGGGGCCAGCCTTCGAGTATTCAAGAGCGTGGGGGGGGGGTACAGGAAAAAGGATGCGATTCGTCACAGAGTATGAAGAGAAGTTTCCTCCCACGTTGCATTTGTAGGATGAAACGTGACACTGAGAACTTAGTTGAGTCATCATCGTAATGGCAACCAGCTCGCGGGAGAGGAGCTCCTGGTAATCTGTTCTTTTCTTGGAATAAAACCAACTTTATAAATGAACTGCACTCATGCGCGACTCACTGCCATCACAACTTACCATCCCTATATATACAGAGGTTCTCTCTAGGTACACACAGGGCTGGTGTGTTCCTATCCTATTTGTCGATCCCGCCCACAGAGGTATTTTTGCTCTGAGAGATCGGGGGGCGGGTAGTGCTTAAGCGCCCCATATTCAATGTTTAATAACAATTACTGAGTGCTGGGTGGATTCCTACAACAGTATTAAAAATACATGTATTCAATAAACATTGGCCACATGTTATAAAAGGAATATGGATTGCGTTTCCCCACCTTTTGATTTCTCCAGGCAACCAATATTTAAGATACTTAACTTGTGGTGCCCAGAATTGAACACAGTATTCAAGGTGGAGTCTGACCAAGGCAGAATAAAGTGGTACTATTCCTGCCCTTGATCTGATTCTGCATTCTGCCACATTGGCCTCCGCTCCCCTTTTGGTGTCCTCCGCAAATGTGATGAGCATCCCCTCAGTTCCTTCATCCAAGACATTTATAAAGACGTTGAACAACAACGGGCCCAGGACAGAACCCTGCAGCACCCCTCTTGTCACTTTTCTCCAGGATGATGAGGAACCATGAAGGAGTCCTCTTTGGGTTTGGTCAGTCAAATCCACCTAACAGTTACCTCGTTCAGCTCACATATTACCAGCTTCCACATAAATATTTCATGGGGGGACTTTGTCAAAAGCCTTACTGAAATCAAGACGCACTATTTCCACAGCTCTCCCCTGATCAACAAAGTTTGTAACTCCATCCAAAAAAAGGGGAGGAGAGATTTCTCTGGCTTTACTTGTTTTGGAGAAAGCCATGTGTAATGGTTCTAGGGGTTGCTCGTGTGTAAGTTGCCGCCACTCCTGGCTGGGTTACCTGGTTGAACCCTTTCTGACTGGACAGCCTCAAGTTTTGTGGCTGTCTCAGTTGCTGGCATAATCCGTCAGTGGGCGTTTCTTGAACCTTTTCCAGCATAAAAGCTGTTTGACGCCAAGTCTCCTCCATCTCTCCCTGCGCGGAAGTCTCCTGCGCAGGGAGGGTGTGGGCAGCGGAGGACCCGTGCTCTCCCCGCTGGTCTCCGGCGAGGAGTCCTGGAGCCCCCTCGCCGATTCCCCCATCTGCCCCCCTTCTCCACTGGTGTTACGCTGATTTTCTTCCCCCGTAGATGGGCTGCCTCTCTCCCTATATGGACCCTCTCCGGCATCCCTTTGGAGCCTTCCCTCCGCCTCTAGCTCCGATGGCAGTTCCCTGACACAATGCTTTCATCTTGTATGTTTATATTGTGAAATCTTCAGATGAAGGGCACATAAATATTAAAAATGATAATAAATAAGGATATTGACAAGCTGGAACATGTGCAAAGGAAGGCAATTTATGTCTTTATTTAATTTGTATAATACTCGACCCAGTGGTGCTGAATTGAATAAAATATTGGTGGGAGGGGCCAGGTAAGGCCTGCCTTGCACAATCAATCACATGATGCATGCATGCCATTGGAATGGCGATGCCTACCAATAGGGGGGGCTTCAAATATATTATTGGGGGGCAAAGACCCCTCGGCCTCTAAGGGTAGGCTCCTAACCCCTGCACCCACAGGTCTAAGGATGGTTACAACATAAAAGCACAATATAAAAAAACAATACACATCTGTAAGCCCCCTCCCCACCACATTTGAAAAGGACATTACATGTTGTCAGGGGCTCAGGAGCAGAGGGACAGGAGAGGGAGGAATTAGAGACCGAGGGGGAGGAATCCAAGGGAGAAGTTAGCGATGATAGCCGCCCGAGGTCTCTAAGTCTCTCCAGCGAATCGGAGGATTCACAGAAAGGGGCTCCCGTGGTCAGAGCTAGGGGGTTGCCAGAGGGAACACCCCAGGAAGGAGGGGCCAGAGGGGACTCAGAGAGCAGCAGTTGGAAATCGGGACCAGCTGCCCCACCGGAGAGCAGTAGGGGGGAGGAGTCCCAGGCATCGGCATCAGGCAGCTTTCCGTCAGCGGAAGGACATGAGTCAGGGTTAGCCACGCCTGCATCAGAGAGTGAGGAAACGGTCAAAAGGAAGGTCGGAGGCAGCGCGCGCGCGCCAAGTTCAAATGTACAAGAGGGTGGCGCAATGAGCAGCCCGGATAGGGAGCCAGGTCCTAAAGCCCGCCGAAGGGAGGGCGAAGAGTCCGAGGGGTCCGCTTCCGAAGCGTCCAGGAAGGGAGGGACCCCGGGGGGTGGTAGGACTAAGAGGCGTAAGGAGAGACGGAAAAGGTGGAGTAAGGCTAGAGTCTTAAGCTGGTGTACAGGGGGCGGAGATTCAGACGGAGCTTCGTCGGTCTAGGCTCTAGACGTAGAGATGCACGCTAGGGTTTGAACATGGAAACTATGCTTCAATAAAGACTTTTGTACAGTTCAACTGGCTAGCGTTGGTCCTCTGTGAGCTGGGACCTGGAGGCAGTCTCTGACACATGTCAATCAGCCAAAGGCCTGGTTTAAAAGGTGCTGACTTGCCTTTCTCCTAAAGCTGTATAATGGTTTTTCCAACCTTTGTATGGATTCTTTGATGGGAAGTGAGAGAGTAGCTCCGACTAAAGCTCTTTCCACATTCCACACACTGATGGGGTTTCTCCCCTGTATGAATTTTTTGATGGGAAGTGAGGGCGGATCCATTAGTGAAGTTCTTCCCACATTCCACACATTGATATGGTTTCTCCCCTGTATGAATTCTGTGATGCTTAGTGAGATCACAGCTCTGAATGAAGCTCTTTCCACATTCCACACACTGATAGGGTTTCTCCCCTGTATGAATTCTGTGATGGGAAGTGAGAGATGCACTATGACTGAAGCTCTTTCCACATTCCACACACTGATAGGGTTTCTCCCCTGTATGAATTTTGTGATGGGAAGTGAGAGATGAGCTCTTCCTGAAGCTCTTTCCACATTCCACACACTGATAGGGTTTCTCCCCTGTATGAATTTTTTGATGGGAAGTGAGATCGGAGCTCTGACGGAAGCTCTTTCCACATTCCACGCACTGATAGGGTTTCTCCCCTGTATGAATTCTTTGATGGGAAGTGAGAGTGTCGTTCCGACTGAAGGTCTTTCCACATTCTATGCACTGAAAGGGTTTGTACCCTGTATGAATTCTTTGATGGGAATTGAGAGTTTCTCTCCTTCTGAAGTGCTTTCCACATTCCACACACTCATAAGGTTTCTCTACTGTATGAATCTTCTGATGGGAAGTGAGACTCTGGCTGTGACTGAAGCTCTTTCCACATTCCACACACTGATAGGGTTTCTCCCCTGTATGAATTTTTTGATGGGAAGTGAGATGGGAGCTCTTCCTGAAGCTCTTTCCACATTCCATGCACTGAAAGGGTTTCTCCCCTGTATGAATTTTTTGATGGGAAGTGAGATCGGAACTCTGACTGAAGCTCTTTCCACATTCCACACACTGATAGGGTTTCTCCCCTGTATGAATTCTTTGATGGGAAGTGAGATGGGAGCTATGACTGAAGCCCTTTCCGCATTCCACACACTGATAGGGTTTCTCCCCTGTATGAATTTTTTGATGGGAAGTGAGAAGGGAGCTATGACTGAAGCTCTTTCCGCATTCCACACACTGATAGGGTTTCTCCCCTGTATGAATTCTTTGATGGGAAAAGAGAGAGTCTCTCCGACTGAAGCTCTTTCCACATGCCACACACTGATAGGATTTCTCCCCAGTATGAATTTTTTGATGGGAAGTGAGAGAGGACCTATCAGTGAAGTTCTTCCCACATTCCACACATTGATATGGTTTCTCCCCTGTATGAATTCTTTGATGGGAAGTAAGAGAGGAGCTTTGACTGAAGCTCTTTTCACATTCCATGCACTGATAGGGTTTCTCCCCTGTATGAATTCTTTGATGGGAAGTGAGACTGTGGCTGTGACTGAAGCTCTTTCCACATTCCACACACTGATAGGGTTTCTCCCCTGTATGAATTCTTTGATGAGAAGTGAGAATGTCGCTCTGACTGAAGCTCTTTCCACATTCCACACACTGATAGGGTTTCTCCCCTGTATGAATTCTCTGGTGCTTAGTGAGATTGGCGCTCTGACTGAAGCTCTTTCCACATTCCACACACTGATAGGGTTTCTCCCCTGTATGAATTCTCTGATGGGAAGTGAGATGGGCGTTCTTCCTGAAGCTCTTTTCACATTCCGTGCACTGATAGGGTTTCTTTCCAATGAGATTTCTTTGATGGGATGTGGAATGGGAGCTATGACTGCAGCTGTCTCCATACTCCAAATTTTTCCGTGGCTTCTCCTCTCTGGGGATTTTCTTTTGGTCACCCATGTTCTCGATTTCCAATACATCTCAATCTGCAATGGAGGCAAAAAGGGATTAGAGCCTCAAGAACAAATGAAGAACTGAAGGGAGTTCGGTGTGTGTTCATTACCTTTGTTGTTTGTCATTAATCAACATATTTATTATTAGATTCTAATGGTTGTTGAATGTTGTTTTTTTAATATATAGTAGTGGCCAAAATTGTAGAAGCCTTTGGGGGAAAGTGTATTTCAGAGGTCTGATGGCTCATAACACTGGCTCATAACAGCACTTCTTTTGGAGTAATATCGTGAAATTATTTAGCAATGGAAAGATAATTTAATCAAGAATGTAATGCAACAAACTTTGTACAATTATCTGTATTAAATTAAAAAGTCATGGCCAAATAAGCAGAAAAAGGAAGCAAACTTGCTTAGGATGACTTTTGTCAGTGTTACAGGTAGGTAGCTGTGTTGATCTTCCTTAGCCGAAACAAAATAAAAAAATTCCTTCCAGTAGCACCTTAGAGAGCAACTAAGTTTGTTATTGGTAGGAGCTGGTATCTGAAGAAGTGTGCATGCACATGAAAGCTCATACAAATAACAAACTTTGTTGGTCTCTAAGGTGCTACTGGAAGGAATTTTTAAATTTTGTTTTGTCAGTGTGTTATGTGATTGCTATCAAGTTGCTGTTGGTTCTTTTGTGTTCTTTCATTTAGCGAGTTTGCAGAACATGATAAAAATGTTAAAATGGCACAAAGAGTTGACTGGTCAACCATAAAGCAATGTAAAATAGTACTATTAAGTGAACAAGGCTATAGTTATGGAGAAATTAGAAGCAAGATTGGGGAAAACGTAACAAAAGCTGGCCTTTCCAAATTTTTGAAGAGGTATAAGGAGACTCAGTCACTACAAAATCAGACTGGTAAAGGCAGGAAAAGGTGCACAACAGCAAGTGACGATTGAAAATGGAGAGACTGCGAACGTGACAGAAGAATGGAGAGACTGCGAACGTGACAGAAGAAAATCATCTGGGTGTTTACAAGATGACATGGCGCAATGTAATGTGAAGTTGAGTGCAAGGACTGGTCTGAATGCTAGAATTCCAAGGGAAAAGCCATTATCTCTCAAGCCAAGGTGGAAAAGATTAAACTGTGCTACAACCCATGTTAACTGGACAGCAGAACAATGGGACAGTGTTATTTGGATGAGACCCAAATCTCCTTGCTTGGTACTAATGGCATGAAATATGCGAGGAGAAGAATCAGAGATTTGCATCAGGGGTTGGCAATCTGTGGCCTACGGGCCAAAACCGGCCCACGAGCGGCCCCCCAAACCGAGCCATCTGCTCAGCAGGTTCCCATGCGCTGCGGTAAATCGGGGCAGCGCAGCACAGGGACTCACTTCTGTGGCGCCGGAAATCACTTCTGCAGAGATGCAGACGGCAGAGATCGCACTCATGCGCGCGATCTTACCCACGGATCCGGTTTGTGGGAGTGAAGTGGCCCAGACGGGGTAAGGCTTGCCGACCCCTGATTTATATCCTACTTGCATTACACCGACCGTGAAACACACAGATAGTGTGATGATCTGGGGTTGTATGGCAGCAAAAGGTGTGGGCAGAATTTGTGTAATAAAACGGAATATAAATGCTCCAAAATACATAAATGAAATACTTGAGCCCAAACTGAAGCGTTCCACATGTGATCTTTTCCCAGATACTGAAGCATTTAGATATATTTATATAAATATTTACTGATTTATTTTTATTTTATATTTCCACAGGATTCAGCTCCATGTCATGTTGCTGCTGTGTGCAAAAGGTGGTTTCAAGATAATCATATTCCACTGCTGGAATGGCCTGGGAATAGCCCAGACCTTAACCAAATCAAAAATCTTTGGAGCCAACTAAAGAAACGTGTTAGTCAGAAGCAAACTAGCAATAAAGCCCAATTAATAGAGGCAATAATTCCATCTTTGTTTCACATTATTACGGCTGCAGAACTAAAAACTTGCTTCACTCCATGGGAAGACGTTGCAAGGCCAGAATTAAAGTTAAAGTTTCCCAAACTCAGTATTAATTGACATGGTGAGAATTTCTGTTAGAAGATTGGCAGATGAAAATGATGGACTTTGCAAATCTGGTGACACTGACAGGAAAAATTCAAAACCAGCACAATTAAGTATTCCAGAAGGGTTGGAGTAAATTTATACGATATCTGAAAGATTATTGTAAGCAATTAACATCACTAGCAGGGTTGTCTGAAGACTTGTAATGAGAAATTTTCTACCTTTCTATATTTAAATTTTGAGCCATTCTGTAATGAGTGTAATAAGAATTGGAAAATGTACAAATTGCAATGATTTAAATGTTAATTTCGAAATCTGAGGCCGGAGGGAAGGAAGTTGAGGCTCTAAAGAGCCAGGGTGGTATAGCGGATAATGATGATACAATATTAAATGGAAAATAATTTTAAAAATTATATACATAAGAAAAACAGTAATTTATTGTTCAATGGTTATTGTGGGGGTGTTAGGTTCCCAGGTGTTGGAGGGGGCGCTGCTGAGCTCTGTGAAAATATATAAGGTTTGTCACATAAAGATATTTTTTAAATTTCCAGGCAGATAGGACGATCCCACAGGGAGCCTTACCAAAAGGCCACGATCCCACGATTCTCCTCCATGATGCCCTTGTGCAGAGCTCTCTGGTCAGGATCCAGCAACGCCCACTCCTCGTCCGTGAAACGAACAGAGACGTCTTCAAAGCACACTGGACCCTAAAAGAAAAAGGGAAATGTGCTCCTCTGAAACAGGATCAATATGATCTGCTACACAATGCTCTGTTCTTTCCTTCCTCTTAATTGCTGCGCTGTTTCAGTAGGATTGCTTTGCTGCACATTTTTATTATGGATGCTTATTTTAATGCTTTAATGGAATTCTTTTATTCTATTCTTTTATACTCCGCCTTGTGTTTTCCATGTTATTCTGCCTATGCAAGAATCCCAGTTTCCCCGATGGAAGGATCCACTTTCTCCTCTCCTAGTGAGTTGTTCTGGGGAGGATCCCTCCCAGTGCCCTAGAGGCAAATTCAAGGGGTTCATGGGGGCATCGAGGAGTGGGGGGCAGGCTATATTTTGCATCAGATGGGGCTGGCTAGGTGAATCCTGGCCACTATTTGTTCTCGTCTGTCCACTGCATAGAAGCCTATTTTAGCATTCAGTGATCACTGTAGAAATACAAGAAGCCTAGTCTGGATGGCCATCTGTCTTGGAGGATCTAGCTGAGACTCCTGCAATGCAGGGGGTGGGACTTGATGACCCTTGGGGTCCCTTTCAACTCTAGGATTCCATGAAAACTGCAACTACAAAGGAATCCTACAGGCGACATGCAGAAGGCTGGTATGACAGAGTTATCTGGGCAGGAAATCCGACACATCACAGCTGGAATTAACTCTTTATCAGCAAGAACACGATATTCACAGACTTGGCTGAGTTTCAGGCCGAATGAGAAGAGCAGCTCATTCCCTGAGGGTCTGTCAGTTTGCATTTCTTAGTGCAGAAAGGATAGATCTGATACTGATATTTCCTATACTATTTAATTCAAGAGGGTTCCGGAAGCTTCTCTGCATAAAAGAAACAAGCAGAAGTTTCCTGGTGTTTGGGTTATTCCTTCAGAGAAGCGGAGTACAGCTGGGTTAAAGTGGTTCTGTCATCTCTTCTGTCAAGGTCAGGCTGACTATAAGAAGAGGCCAGAAGGAGCCTGGGTTTCACTTTCTCTTTCTCTCTCTCTTCCTTCTGGTGTTCTGTACATAGTATGTGTTAAGGTTAAGTGTTAAGGTTTAGACTTATAATAAGTTTAGGTAAATTTAGGTAAGTTTAGGTTAAGGCTGCTGCAACTGGATTTCTTATGGACAGGGTCAATTCTGTACATTTTAGATTTGTGAACACATTATGCTCATTTGCCTTCAGTAGCAGAAAGCTCCACCGGATGAAATACAGTTACCTCTGGTCTATTTCGGGGGAATCCTGCAATGTGTTTAGGTTTCACTCTGCTAACTATACATTGGAGTTCTGCTGTGGGTCAATATTGAGCAGAATTCCCTGAGCCTCTTCCTCCATGAAATCAGCTGCTGAGAGTGAAGGCCCCCGGCTCCCCACAGCTTTCCAAGTCCCCTCCGCTCTGGGGTTCAAGCGATCCAACAGTGCAGCCTGCCTTTGCTCCTCCATTCTCAGACGTCTCCTGGCTCTGAGAGACGAGCAGGGAGGGGGGCTTCTGGCAGAAGGAGAGGGAGCCAGGGTCTTTTGCCTCACCATCCCCACTACTGACTCCCTGTTGCTACTCAGCTTGGGGGGGGGGGGAGTGTCCCCGGATTCATTGAGAAAAATCTGGTAACCATACTCTAGCCCTCCTAGAAGGAAGATTGCAATGCAAAATGTGGAGGCACCGGAAGGGATTTATGTGATGGGAATCAGCCTGGTTGCTCCTGCCTTCCAGTAAATAATAATAATAATAATAATAATAATAATAATAATAATAATAACACTGCATGCCAAGCAGGTGCTCTGGGTTCCCCATATTTCACTAGCCTTTCAACGTTATTCTCTTAACAAATGTGGAGATTCCACCTGCCTCTTTCCAAAGGAGGAAACTCACCTGATTAAAGGATTTGAGGTGATGCATCATTTATAGGGTAAATTTTATAGAGGTGGGTAAAAACCTCAGTGCCTAGGACTTGCCGATCGCATGGTCGGCGGTTCGAATCCCCGCGGCAGGCTGAGCTCCCGTTGCTCGGTCCCAGCGCCTGCCCACCTAGCAGTTCGAAATCACACTTAAGTGCAAGTAGATAAATAGGGACCGCTTTATAGTGGGAAG